AATATTTATGCATGTTCAAGTATGTATAACAACTCGATATTATAAGTCCTTAACTAAAACATCACATTCTTCACACTTTCTTCAACATCGTAAGGTACCGCGTTCTTCATCACCGTAACCTATACCCATCGAGATCGAGTGAGAACCCATCGAGATCGAGTGAGAACCCATCGAGATCGATCGAGAAAGGTCGAGAATCCATTCATTAGTTTGGTATGTGTTTATGTGTGTTAAATCATAACCTACCACCTTAATTTTATATCGAAAACTTCGATTGATTTATTATTTGTTTGTGTGTTTAAAAACATAGGCTACCACTTTCAGCTTTTATCGAGACGGACCGTGAAGCCAACGAGAACAATCAAGAACACATCCAGATCGATCGACAATCCATTGGGACCGATTGACACCAATCGAGATCAATCAAGACGAATCAAGAACTCATCCATTGAATTGGTATGTGGTTGTATGTTAAAATCGTAACATAACACCTTCATTTTTTATCGAGACCGATTGAGAACCTAGTGATTATTCTTTTTTTTGTGTAAAACCATAATCTACCACTTTTAACTTTTATCAAGATGGAATGAGAAATCTATCGAGACGAATCGAAAACTCATCTAGATCAATTGAGAACCTAATAAAAAGACAAAGAAAGAAAACTAAGATATGTAGAGTTGAAACTGTAGTAAATTCATGATGAATAATATGTATATATATATATACATGATGAATATTACAGTGAAAAATTTATATTTATTATAAATATCATACATGCTAATATAAATACTAGAGAATAATTGTATACACGTGATTAATTATACATATATATTAATGATGAATAGTTTGTATATTCATGATAGATGTTACAGTGAAAATGTATATTTGTGACGACACTAATGTATGAATGTTAAAAATGTGTTGTATAGACATGAAGATATATAAATATTCATGATAAATAATATGTATATTTCACGATTAATATGTGTATATTCATGATGAATATTATGTATATTAAAGATGAATGTTATAGTGAAATTATATGTTCATGATGAATATCATACTGATATATGGATACCGAAAAGTTGTTATATACACGTAAACATATATTAATATTCATGATTAATAATATGTATATGCATGATGAATGTTCTAGTAAAAATGTATATTAATGATGAATGTCATATTAATGTATTATTATTGAAAAATTATAATAGACACATGAACATATGTGTGTGTGTATATATACATATTTTCATGATGAATGCTATAAAGAAAACGTACATTCATGATGAATGATATTTATATTCATGATAAATGTTATAATGAAAATGTATATATTAATGATATATGAATACCGAAGATTTGTTGAATACACGTGAAAATACATAACTACTCATGATGAATGTGACACTAAGTTGTATATTCATGATGAATAAAATACTAATGTATGAATATTAAAGAGTTGTAAACACATGAACATGTGTAAATATTCATAATGCATAAATATTCAATATGAATATTACACATATATACTATTTAACGTAAAAAACGTTAAAAACAAAAAAGAGCTATATTGAGATCGTTGTCAAATATAAAAGAATTTAATGCTCGATTCTTTTATGCAATTTTTTTTATTAAAATATCAGTTATTGTTAAGATAATTTAATTTAAAAATTAAGAGGGTAAATGTTTTTTAATTAAAAAAAGAAAATCAAAAATCAAATACGATAGAATAACCAAACTTTCATTTTTACCCTAATCATTTCTCAATTAAGCATTTTATGTTGTAATCATTGATTAGTTTTCTAAATTTTAATAAATGACCGAGATTGGTACTCATGTTTACAATGAAATGAAGTTTTCAATTGAACCCACCCCATATATACACCCACACACACACACACACACACACACACACACATATATATATATATATATAGAGAGAGAGTAGTGATCAAATGCAAACAACTCATATTTGTACAAACTGTGCAAACCATCTTCATCCGTCGATTTTATTGTTTAATCTTATGAAATTTTTTCATGAAATTGTTTCATATAATATTTTTTTATGAAATAGTTTCATATATGATTATGAAATTTTAATAAAATTGTTTCATATATTTCTCTAAATTTAATATAATGAAGATGATAATATCTATAATTAACATCATCGACAATAAAAATGATTAATCAAACTCTCATAATTACAAATAACGTGGTTTGCAAAGTAACTCTTCTCTCTCTCTCTCTCTCTCTATATATATATATATATATATATATACGTATATGTATGTATGTATATATACCTAATCAATTGTGGGGGGTTCTGATGAGAAGGGAAATTTAAGAAACGTAAGAACAGATCTCCACCATCGAATCAATCTTAATTGAATGTTAACACTAATAAGGTGCATCTAGATACATTGAATCAATTCCTTTTAGAAGTGCAACCCATGGGTGAGCATGAGATTAAAAGTGATTAATGGTTCAACTATTTTCTTACGCTTCTCCGCATAACTTCTCTTTTTATATGATCCTTCGTGTCAAATGAAAACTCAGTAGTTTGTGATAATCATGAGTATCCAATGTGAGCAAATCATTTAAAATTATTAATGTTATTTTTTAAAATAAAGTAAAAGGGTATATTAGTAATACGATATTCCAATTTTTATATTTAATTAAATTATTTAATCTCTCTCTCTTTTTCCATATCCTCATTTTGTATTACAATCGTTGGTGTTGTGAATACGTTGTAAACAACAGGTATCACATTGGGTATTAACGAGTATACCATGAGTATCACAATGTGCATATTGTATGTATCTCGGGAATCATAGTGAGAATCATTTGTATATGTATTTCTTAAACAATGACGATATTTTTAGGTATTATATTGTGTATTTTGTATTCACATGGTATTCGCTGGAATAAGATTCATCGGAGAGAGAAAAGAGAAATAAGAGTATGATGAACTTAGTACAGTATCAAGTTTTTTCTTCAATATCGTGTATTAACCAATTATAATTTGTACATAAAATAATACTTATATCGTGTATCAACCAATTATAATTGGTACTATAATCTTATACCATATATTATTTAAACTTTTTCCCGTTGGTTTAAATTGTACCAACTTCAAGTTACATATATGAAAACTTTTCTTTATATTCAAACTTTGACTGACATTTGGAGTTTTTAGGCAACACATGTAATGTTTAATACTTTTTCTTTATTGCAAAGGATAAACTGCAAACATTCAAATGTTCAAACAAAATAGTTAAATTTACAAAGTTTAACATTCAACACATAAAAAAATTCAAAAACTAAAACTATTAAATCAATCAGTACCATGATATTATTGTAGTACGTGACTTTCAATACCGTCTACCAACCAAGTTTACATACTTGCTAGTTGATACGGTACTATCAACCAATTGCCACTCTAGATAAAAAGGTAAAATAAATTAAGATTAAAACACGTAATTTCTAATACTAATCGGACCCTGTCGATGATTTTCTATCTTTTTTAAATTTTATTACTTTGAACAATTATTTTTTATATTTGGCTGAATAATTAATTAAACATTCGTTGAATTATAATAAAATCTAACAAAAGTTGTAACTAAAAAACCCAGCCGACCGACATCGTTTCGTCCCAATGGCATCATGTCAGACGCAATCCAGTTATACAGTGTTCACGAAGAGCTTAATCTCCAAAAGAACTGTAATTGTTTTATTGCAATTCTAAAGCAATAATGGTTAGAACACAACAATATTATTGCTAGACATGGATTAAAAGAATGAGGATTGACAAAACGGTTTGGGCTGACATAAAACAAACTTGCTCTAAGATCGAAATGATAATGCCCAAAATTTTGATACTAGGATCAGTTATAACTATAATAACATATCAGAGTTTTAAATACTGGGACCAAATTGATGAAGACGTAACCAATTATAAAACCAGTTAAACAAAAAGATGAAAGATCATTAATACTTGGAAAATTAAGAAAAAGACATTTACTTCTCCTTTTGAATCCGTTTTAGTGTTGTCACATTAATTTAATGCTCTGGGGACATGCCCTTTAACTGATTGTTGACGGGTCTAGTTTGATGCTTTAAAAAACAATCACGGTCCTTAGTCCTTAACTGATCATAAACAAAAACTAATACCTGACTCGAATCCGATGACCTAAGCCCACCCGTATTTTGTATTCATGTGTGTGTGAATTAGTAGTTATTTAGGTTTGCCATCGGGCTTGAACTAGATTGAAATCGGCATTGAACAACGTCCAATAACTGTGTTTCTTAATCAAAGATCCTTAACCGAGCTTGTCCAGATAAATTATCTGGTTCCGAATTGTAGGTATGCACGAGGCTCAGAACTCGCCCTTGAAGGCCGAATTCTCGATTTGGTGTCAGTTGTTTCCGCTCCTTATCTTCATATCTAGGTAAAAGAGTCGTTTTTGATACAAAAGATATAACTCTATGTCTAACGTTTAGAAAACAGACCTAAAATAGCTATAGAAAATACTGAAATTTATTAACACTGACTAATATTATAAGGAAAGTATACAAGAATATCATTTACTTTCTTAAAAAGATATTTATCAATTACATATTTATACATTTATAATTATTATATCATATTTGTAATGGAAGTTAATTATATATATTTAAAAGAAAATAATTTATAAGATTATAATATTTAAATGTAATTTGATGACTCGGATCTGGTGTGATCGGTTTTTCTTTTTAGAATTTTTTATTTTTTAAAGTAAAATTGTCAAAAAAGATGGTTTATTAAAAAATAAATCTAATTTAATTTATAAAAAGATTAAGAAAAAGACAAAAGTTATTAAGGCAACAAAGGAGAAGTTTAGAAAAAAACAGTTGATTAGGCTAAAGTACGCACATGCGACACAGCACCATAGTCCAAGTCCATTATGTCTTTGTCTTTATTGTCCGCCATTTTCTTTTCCTTCACTTTTCCTCCATACTTTAATATTCAACTTCTACTCCACTGCTGCTGACTCTCTGTTCTAATCACTTGTGAATTTAGATTTCTAGAGAGAGAGAGAGGAGAATTGGGTTAATGGTGAAATCTGAGAACTGAAATTGGGCCAAAAAGAAACAGAGGAATTATGGAGCAAGATGAAGGGAATAACAATAATAATAATGGTGGGATGTTTGTGAAAGTAATGACTGATGAACAAATGGAAGTTCTTCGGAAACAAATCGCGATTTATGCCACCATTTGTGAACAACTTGTTGATTTGCACAAATCGCTTACTTCCCATCACGATCTCGCAGGTTTGTCTCTGTTTTTTGTCGAGTCAAGTGTGAATGTGTGAGTTGATTTCTCGTTTATTTTGACTATTTCACGTAATTATTGTGGTTGATTTTGGTGGAATGCATTCGGTTGTTGATTGATTCTTTGAAATATTTTACAAGGGCATTTAGATCGTCTCCAATTTTGGTTTCATTTAGTCTGTTGTTTGCATCATAGGTATCCCTTGATTCCTGCTATATGTGTGTATGATTGTGATTTCTGTGATGTTTATATTACAGATTTTAACATCTAAGGCTCTGATTTTGGTGGGTTTTGGTGAGAATGTGTGTTCGATTGTTGTAGTTTTACAACTAGGGTACTATGATTGTTCCTAAATTTGCTTCCATTTCTGCCTGTGTTCGCTCTTTATGTGTGAATCTTGAACGTGCAACTTTGATTGATGAACTGATTCAATGATTCTGGTAGGTTTTTTTGGTCAAAATATAGTGGGTTTTTGTGGTTCACTTTGATTCTATGAATTTTCCCATCAGGGCATTTTGATCATCTTTTCATATTGCTTTATTGTGTATTTTGAGTAAAGGGGGACAAATAGCATCCGAGACATTGTACTTGGCCTCTTTGTTTCTAAACAATTATTGCACTTGGAAAAATCATAAAAACCACCCCACCTTTCTAATTTCTTCCCAAAGGGGTGCTTCTCTTTCTTTCTTTCCTTCTGTTTTTATCATCTTTTACCAATTACTTAGCATCATATAAGACCGATCAGTTTTTCTTGAGATCCATGAGACCACAAAACAACATTGAACTCCACAATATAACACTTTGAAGGTAAAAAAAAAAAACTAATCTTCACCAACACATTCACAGGGTTTTTGCGTTGAAGGGTCAGTGTGGTTTTGTGCCTTCACAGCAGGTCTCACGAGTCTCACGAAAACAGGCTGGTCTCACGGAACCCAACCCTTTGCTCTCTTCTATGTCCTACTTCCTAGTGGGATATACTGGGTACAATTGGTTTGATTTGGGAGTGTTATTTTGGGTTTTTGCAAGTATATGGGCTGCTTATAAATGAAGTGTCAAATGCTAATCACTTAGTTAAAATATAAGATTAGTGAAGCTTATAATGATTCATCCCCTGCCAATTTTCCTTCCTCAATTAGCATAGGTTGGATTTAGGTGGGAGAAAGATATAAGGAATCTTTGAGACGCTTGGAGAGTGTTTTTACGCCATTAATAAAAAAAATTCATCATCACAACAGCATTGGTTTTGGTTATGAATCATTGGAACCCTTCTCAGAACTTGAAAATGGAATTGAAGGTTGAATAAGTTCATCATAATTACTAGGTCATAGATGGTTTTTGAACCACACTTTGATGATCTTTTATCTGTTGATTGTTTCAAGTTGAAATCTTTTTAGTTAGATGGAAATTCTTGCTTAAATTTTCGTTAAAAACAGAAACAGCTCTCAAGATATAAGTATGGCTGATACTTGATTCTTTTTTCCCTGCATTATTATTCATAAATAACACATGAAAATCATAGCATCATAAGCACAAATAACTTTAAATAATTCCTACCATTTCAGCTTTTCTTAAATGACTTTTTCCATGTTTAAAGTATGTTTTTGCAGGAAAATTGCAAAAACATTTACTGCATGCATTCCAAAGAGAGTCGAATCTTTATTCAAGATTTTTGAATTCAATTTAACATCAAGACACATGTTTTTTGCTAGTTTGAAAATGTATTATGATCATAATAGAATTTAGTGTGATAAATTGGCGGGTAAGTGTTTGGTAAACGGTCCCTTAGTCTCTCTCTCTAGTGGGTTTACTATCCTTAAGTTAGTCTTTAACTTTCACGCTACATGCTTGTGTCTCCTTTGTGTGCATGTGAAAGCTAGCTTCATCATTTGGCATTACAAGGGTTTGGGTAAAAGTTAGTAATAACGAAGTGAATTCAACAAGGTTAAGGTTGAAGATGTTTAACGTGAAAACATCCAAAGATGATAAGATTGGAAGAGATATGTTTAGAGAGGATGAAAATGATAAAGAGGAGTCATCTACCACTTGGGTCTAATAGACCAAATGAAGGACTTCCCTTCATTATCAAACTAGGTTGACTTGCTAAATTGCTCCTATTGGGTCTTCTCATTTAGAAAGTAACATGGTGGTTTGGATTTGAAATAAAATTATAGAGGAACTAATGGTGCAAGGAGCTCGAGGGTACATAGGTGACGCATGGTGTCTTGGACCATTGAGGTCTGTCACCATTTGTGTCCAAGTGCTTATGACCAATCACTCATCTAGAGGAGCTATAGCTTCTTTTTAAGGTCTAGAGGTGAACGAAGGAGCTTATGTGTAGGATCTGTTGGACATCTATCCATAATCCAAAACTTGAATGTAGTCGAAGGGAGAAAGTTGGTGTCTATGGAGGCATGGAGCTAAGAATATTATTCAAAATCGTATTTGGGATCATCCTAACTTTAAATTGGGATGAAGTTGCAATGATTGCAACATGGAGAAAATGAATTAAGTGCGGGCTATGTTGTGCTCTACTTGAAGGAGCAATAAGGGACGCTGCCAAAAAGTTTGCTGAGCTTTTAAGCATGGAAAGGCTAAAAGCGAAACCTATAATTCACTTAGCCCAAGGGATGAGTTTGCAAGCCGTCTGAGAACTAATACCCCAAAACGTTTGGCATCTAGGGACATGTCAGGGACCAACATGGCTCCCTTTTGCCTGGAATCACCAATGTTGAGAGAGAGTTGAAATAATCAAAGAGGAAAATAAAATAGCATGGATTCTCCCTTCAGAGCATTTGTTCTAAGATGGGTTTGACCACACCTAAGCTGTGTCCTTGTGAAAGTAAAAAAGGGTATTCACCACCCTCTAGAGCGCCCTTGCCACATTGGTCCCATGGTCATCATGAGTGAGGTAAATCGCGCTTGCTTTCCACCATGAGAGGGGCGGTCCCAAGGGCTCGAACCTAGAACCTCACACATATGGATTACACGCACACCTTTACCGCTAGGACAGACCAACGGGACTGTCCTTGTGAAGGTGAGGGCATATAAACATAACTTGTATTATGCTATGAGCATGTTAATTGAATACATCCATGATGAGGATGGATTCTGTAAATTGTCCACTCTAATATGGAACGTTGCAACCCAAGTATAATTGATCCATAAAGTAGTTAAAGAATGAACTTATAAATGACTTTGTCATGCGTAAAAGACAAGTATCATGGCCAAGCTCTTCAAGTCGGGATATGCTACACAGATGACATTCAATCCCAACATACGCCATACGAACACATTGAAAGCAATCTCCAAAGACATCTCTGGATTAGTATAGTACCTTCTATAGTGTACTAGACCTCTCTTGTGTCATATACAAGGTTCATAGATACTTGTAGACTGCTACGACAAGCGTAGAAGTATCTAGAACTTCCTTGTATCTAGAATGTTCTTGGAGCTCAAATTATCAAGTGTTCTCAATCCCAAATATTGATGGGGATTCAAGATCATTCCTCCAAGAGTATATTTACATTAAACTATGTATTAAGTCAAATTTTACATTTGTTATATGAATATGCTCCATGATCAAATTGCTGCCTTGCATGTATATGCAAAAACCATCAATACTCTCATTTTTATTACAAACGGAAAAAAACACGTGTATCCCTTCAATATGAAGACCTTGATCATGTTCTTGCAGGAGTTAGGCTTGGGAACTTATACAGCGATCCATTGATCACATCTGGTGGCCATAAATTTTCCGGCAGACAACGATGGACCCCAACACCCGTTCAGCTTCAGATTCTAGAGCGTCTTTTTGAGCAAGGAAATGGGACCCCAAGCAAACAGAAAATAAAAGAAATCACATCTGAATTATCGCAGCATGGTCAAATTTCTGAAACAAATGTTTACAACTGGTTCCAGAACAGACGAGCCCGATCAAAGAGGAAGCAACAGGTTTCTGCACCTAATAATGGGGAATCTGAAGTAGAAACCGAAGTTGAGTCACCCAAGCTGCAGCAGAATTCAGCATCAACGGCTGATGATAACTTGTGCTTTCAGAATCCAAATGTAAGTTCTGGGATAAGTTCTGTGGATCAACGAGCGAAGAAAGTGGAGCCAGTTTTTCCATCTGATGCTAGCTCAAAGCCCGCTGGGAATGTGGGCCAGATGTCATACTATGGGAGTATGTTAGCAAATCCAAGTAAGTACGATATTACAAGACACATTTTGTGAAAAAGTTAGACATATATAGACGCATTTCCGTCTGTTTCTTCATGGAACAGCCGATCTACTCTTTGGGGTAGAGGTCATGTCTGTATATATCTCACCTCAAACGGTACTTTCGAGTGGGATTTACTGTGTCCGTTTGGTTTATTTAGTGAAATATGAGGGTGGTTTCTTGCAAGATAATTGCAACCCGTGACTGGAACATGATTTAGTGAAATTGTTGATTTTTAGTCGAATATCTAAAATACCCACAACTACGGAATGAAATCACAATTAATGTTATCAATAATTTGTAGTAATTAGTGATTAGTAATGGCGAAGAGGTAATCTTGGATGAAAACTTGGCAGAAAATGTAAACTTCGCATATATTTGGGACATCCTGTAATGGAAATTGTTGCTCTCTTGCCGCAGGGTCAATGGCCCAACAGCACCCGAGTTAGATGCACAAGGCCTGGTCCTTCCAATCCCGAGCAAAAAAAGCCCCGGGTTTTTAGGCTTGGGCCAGGCTTTGGGGTTAAAAAGGGCCCAATTGGTTTTTGTCAGGCCGGTTTTTTGGGCTTAACCGGGCTTTTTCAGGCCGGGCCCCAAAAGCTTGATCAGACTTTATGGTCCGGCCTGGACTTGTCTTCGGGATTGGGATTTTTTGTGCATATCTAGATCCAACCTTCTTGGAGGTCAAGTTCAAACGTCACCAAAGATGGGACGGATCATGGTGACATTTTTGCAAGTCAGTTGATAGCTATAAAATGTATAACATTCTTAGCAGCTGGTACATGCGTTGATGCAGGAATGGATCGTATAATCGGAAAGATGGAAGTTCCAGGGAGTTATCATCAATCATATATGCAAGGTGATGAGTACAACATGACAGGCTAAGTATAGTACAACAAGATCTGCTAGAAGTTTCTGGAAAGAAATGTCAGGTGATCCAAGTCTGTTCAATAGAAATCTATCCCACATTCTTATTAACACCCTAAGTATAGTATAGATGCTGCTGCAGTTGCTGATGGATCATGAAGCTCTTTAATTGTTTCTTGTACTTGATGATGATGCATCTTTCACGGATGATATACATACATATATATATATATAGTACGTGTTTCTTGTTCAGTGTTGGAGTCTCATATCAGCTGAATTTGGACCAATTCTACTCGGTATACGTTAATGTTGGGAACCTTCCTTTCTCCCTAAAGACTCTTTTGGAGTGCACTTTAAAGGTGGTTGACATATTCTCACATGGTATCAGAGCCGAACATTATTATTCCAGTATTTTAACAAATAGTGAGAGGGGGTGTGGAGTCTTGTATTAGCTAGACTTACACGATATCAAAGATTAGGATGATATTTTTTAAAGTGGTATATTTTTCAATCAAATGTGGTTTTATGATTTTATTTTTCAAATATTTTTTAAATTCAAATTTTTTTTGTAGTTTTAGAACAAATGTGGAAGTTCATAGAATAACCAAAAACACATATCAACCTGTGCATATAAATTGTAATCATTGAAGAATAAATCACTAAAATCCATATTTTTAAAATCATGAAAAACAAGAAAGTGAAAATTAGTATACCAAAACAAGAGTAAAAATGTAATGCAAAAAATTATTTCATATTCAATGGATTCTTTTTGTAAGTTATTATATGCCCACGACACGTGTTACATGGTGATAGTGCTAAAGAGTATGTAAATTTATAGGGTCGCACACAAAAAATACGTTTGCTTCCATTTGAAAGTAACCCAAAAGTTATGATTAACAGTTAAATAATTATTCTTGAAGAATAATCATAGAATATGTGTTAAAAAGTAATTATGATAATTACACGATATTATCTGTAAATAAATATAATTATTTAAAGTTTTAGATAATTATTTACAGATAAATATCAAACCTTATTTAAAGTTATAGGGTGACTATGATACCAATTCTTATAAATAGAGTGTTAGGCCAATTCAATTTGTGAAATGAATTCAATTCTCTGAATTTTGTCTATCAATCTATATACATTTAGACTTAGGGTTCTTTTGGGCTAGCACCTAGTGAGAATCTACACATGTTCGTGTGTAGATCAACTGTAGAGGAAACCGCGCTTGGTTTCTAAGTGCCACATTAGACTTTTCACTAGATTCTAAAAGGTATATTCCTAAACACCCTATGGCGTGTTACAATTTAATTAAATGTCTCATTGAATCCGACTTGGGTTTTAGATTTAGAAAACTTTTCTAAATTATCGTATCAAATTTTTTATATTTTCCGCTGCGTTCAAAGTTACAAGTTACTATAAAACCCAACACTTTTAATTAGAGAAAACTTGAGATTTTAAGTAAAAAAATTTACGTAGATTCTACAAAACTTTTGCCAAAATGAAAAAAGAATAACAAAATGTAAAATTATCTAAATCCGGAGAACTCTCTAAAAATGATTACCATGAGAGAAACAATTTATTATTATATTCCCACCACTAAGAAAACTTTGAGGTTAAACCATAAGGGTGGTGTCTGATTGGTTTGAACTTGGCTTCAAAGGTCAAAAGTATCAGGAGGTCTTAGGTTCAAATCCAAGGAGATAAATGTATTTATTTTTACAGATTTCAAATTTTAATTCGAAATTATTAGAGATTCTCTTATACGGTAGCTTTGTTTCTTTGCATCGAAGTCTTGAACAACTAAAAAGAGAGAAACATGTGTTTTCAATTGGGCATAGCTCTAAAGTCTCATACTTGAGAATATATGTTTTAAGAGTTTAAAACAAAGTGATGCATGGTGTGATGTGAAGGCGACTTTAAGTCCTCAACTCTTATATGTTAAAGTTTTAAAAAAAAGCCTTATACACTATAACGAGGACGTGACGTTGTCGTGATAGACGGTAAATTTGTGTGTCACTTACACACACATACATACATATATATATATATATATATATATATATATACATACATATATATATATATATATATATACATACATATATATATATATACATACATATATATATATATATACATACATATAT